CACAAGGCGAAGCCAGACGTTCCTGGAGCTGTGTGCCCAGCTCGCCTCAGCGCTCTGGAGACATACCACCCGGCTGCGGCCCACCATCCCGGTCAACAAGAGGGTCACCATCGCACTCTGGAAGCTGGCCACCCCAGACAGCTACCGCTCAGTGGGACACCAGTTCGGGGTGGGCAGGTCCACAGTTGGTGCTGTTGTGATGCAGGTAAGTCCTGGGGAGGTGCTGCACTCCCTGCCCGGGGGAAAGGAAGACTCTGGAGACATACCACCCGGCTGCGGCCCACCATCCCGGTCAACAAGAGGGTCACCATCGCACTCTGGAAGCTGGCCACCCCAGACAGCTACCGCTCAGTGGGACACCAGTTCGGGGTGGGCAGGTCCACAGTTGGTGCTGTTGTGATGCAGGTAAGTCCTGGGGAGGTGCTGCACTCCCTGCCCGGGGGAAAGGAAGACTCCAGGCTGGGGGGTGGGCAGAGTGGGGGACACCCTGTCACCCAGGGGTTTGTGCCATCCCTCCCTCACACAGGCCTTCTGGTATGGGGGGGGGGCCTGTGGGGTGACGGGGCCCTGGTGTGTTTGGGGACAGAGGGCACCATGGGGGCAGGCACCTCCCCAAGAGATCATGCACCTACCCTGCCTCATTCAGTGTGTTCCCTGTGTTTCTGGGTGCCCTTCTGCAGCTTGTCCGTGCCATCAACGACAGCCTGCTCCAGAGAGTCATCCGCCTTCGGGACGTGGATGCAGCGGTGGCCGGCTTCGCTGCTCTGGGGTTCCCCAACTGAGGGGAAGCCCTGGATGCGACCCACATCCCCATCTGTGCCCTGGAACATCGAGCGGCCCATTTTATTACCTAGAAGGGGTACTTCTCCATCATGCTCCAGGCCCTCATGGACCCCTGTTGCCACCTCACAGACATTTGTGTGGGGTGGTCCGGCAGGGCACATGACGCCCGTGTCCTTCGTAACTCCAGCCTGCATTGCAGTATGGAAGTAGGCACTTTCTTCCCCCAGCGGGAATGTACAGTTGGGGACGTCCACATGCCTCTCTGCATTGTGGGGGACGCGGCCTACCCCTTCATGCCCTGGTTGATGCGGCCCTACACAGGACGGATGGACCCTGGCTGGGTACGTTTCAATGACCACCTGAACCGGACCTTCAACCAAGTCAAGTGCACCTTTGGCTGGCTGAAGGCGCGCTTCCGTTGACTGCTCACCCGTCTCGAGATGGATGAGCAGAACATTTCTGAAGTTATGGAAGGGGGAGGCCTTCCTCCCGGGGTGGATGGCAGCCGAGGGCCGGGCATTTGAACAGCCCTGCACAGCCACCATCTGCCAGGCACACCAGGATAGGGTGTGTAACTGGGAGGCCCTGAAGGAGATGTTCTCCCCTGCCACACTGTAGGGTCGCTTTTGTCTCCCATCTACATCTCCCTCCCATCCCCAACCCTTCCTTCCTCCGCCTCCCCTCACCTCCCAATAAATAAAACAATTTTTTTCTTCAAAAAACAGGCAACTTTTATTTGTACTTACAATAGGGAAGAAGAATGGGCAGTGGGAGGGGCCTCTCAACTGGGAGGGGGAGGAGGAAGCAGCTCTCAACTGGGACGGGGAGCTATTGCTGGGAGGGGCAGCTCGTGCCAGTGCCTCCGTGGGTGCAGAGGCCTTGCTGTCCTTCAGGACAGGGATGTGGGCAGGACGGGGTGCAGAAGGTGGGGACATGGCAGTGGCTGGAGGGGCAGCTGAAGGAACAGTAGGAGGGGCAAAGGAGGAGCAGCTGGAGGGGCAGCAGGAGGGAGCATGGGGGGCATGGCAGGGGGATGTGGCAAGGCCATGCTGTAGTGCACGGCATGACCGATGTGCGAGGTCAGGGTGGTAATTACGTCGCACATCCAGTCACACCACTGCAGGAACTGCCCCCAGGCCTGCTGTCGCCACTTCAGGTCAGCCTCAATCTTTCGGCTGACTGCTGCCTCAATCCTTTTGACAGCCTGGACATGCCGCCGGCGGAGCCGGTCCCGCTGCCTGGCCCACTGGACTGGTGCCTGGGTGGTTGATGGTGCCACTGCCGCAGGGCTGGAGAGTCCCTTGCTCCTGGGTGGTCCTGCTGCAGAGAACACAGAAAATGATGAGGCAGTCAGGCAGCCCTGCCCACACTGTCCCTGAGCCCCATGCCCTCCGCCCTAGCCCCAGGCGACACCACACTACTGTGGCTTGGGCCTAATCGGTCCCCATGTTAGCATACAGGACTCCTTGGAGTAAAGTGATCCTCCATGGATTGTAACCCTTGGGAGACATCACTGTGAATGAAGACCCCCCTTGTCTATGTCCTGGCCACTTGGCATGTGGTGTGTCAACCTGTGGAACTCCTTGCCAGGAGAGGCTGTGAAGGCTAGGACTATAACAGGGTTGGAAAAAAAGAGCTTGATACATTCATGGAGGTGAGGTCCATAACAGGCTATTAGCCAGGGGGTAGAAATGGTGTCCCTGGCCCCTGTTTATCAAAGGCCAGAGATGGATGGCAGGAGACAAATCACTTGATCATTGTCTTCAGTCCACCCCCTCTGGGGCACCCAGCACTGGCCCCTGTCAGCAGACAGGTTACTGGGCTAGATGGACCTTTGGTCTGACCCAGT